GAGGAGTATTTAATTGACGACTCGAGCGGCGAAGCCTCCCCTCCTCCTCTTCCTTTTTAAAGAAGCTGTTCGTCGATTTAATGAGAAACGAGAGGGAGACTATCAATCTCCCCCCTTTCTCACGTACGTAGGAATGCGAGAGTTCGTGTAAAACCCGTTCCACCGCGGGATCCGATATTGTTGGGGGATCCCATGTAGTGGGGAACGGAAGAGCGTACCGTTACTCGTTTAAAGAATAAGATATCCTCCTGTCTTATATCCTGGCAAATATCGATTTATTTATTCAGAAAAAACGAAAGATATATTTCCCTTTTCCTAATCTAATTCTCTAATGGGTTAACATTTTCCTCAAAAAAAAAAAAAAAAAAAAAAGAAAATTTCATCGAATAAATAAAGCTTACAACACGACGAGATATGAATGAACGTTTGGCGGACAAAGTGCTCGTATCAAGCGTGGAAGAAGAAATTCCGTGGAAAAGGCAGGAGAGTTGGTTCACAGTCTTTAAAGTGGCTCTAATGGCCATTTCCAAGAAGCGTCTCGAAACTGGAGAGCAAGTTCCATTACCGGGCGAGCGCTGTAGCCGGCTTTAATCCCTTTCGGCGAGTTTTCGAACTCGTATAAGCCAAGCCCGGAATTCGCCGACTTAGGGGGCTGTCGACCCAAGTATCCCGCGCGATGTCACGAATTCCCAACTTTCTTCGAACCGTATACTTATTAAAACAGATTTCGAAAAGGGGCAAGCGTTAAAGAGAGAAGCAAAGAAATTCGAAAATTTCGGTTTATAATCGGAAAATATAATTTCATTATAAATTTCAGACGAGTGATAATTCGAATAAATATTGGAGGCAATCGAGTGATGTAGCGGCAGAGTGGGAAAATGATTTATGGAACGAGCTCGAGGGAAGAGGAAGGTTTCTCTCGCGTTAACGAGATTGCGGCAAGAGGATAGAGAGAATTCGAAGTTTCCTCCTCTCTGCGGAAGAAATCTCGAAGAAACAACTCTTCCCTCAAACTCTGGCGACGCAGGATTCGAAACTTTCAGCGAATTACTTTCGGTAACGATAGAAAGTTGGTCGAAACGCGTCTCGATCGAGACCAACTTTTCTGTAAATTTGATCGATTTCTGATCATCGATCATTCGCGATTATAGTAAATGTGGGGTGCAATTATTAATAATATTAGGTGGGTTAGTATAGTCTCTTCAATTCCAATTTTCAAATTTATTTAATTCGTAATCGAGAAATTATTTCAATATATATATATTATTATAAAATTTCAATTTTTAAATAGACCAACTTTTCTGTAAACCGATTTCTGATCATCGATCATTCGCAATTATAATAAATTATATACTGTTAGATGGATTAGCATAGTCTCTTTAATTTTCAAAGGAAATTTATTTAATTCATTCGCAATCGAGAAATAGAGAAACAATAATATTCGTTTAATTTTTAATATACCTTGCAAATTTCAATTTTTAAATAGTGAAACGCGTCTCGATCGAGACCAATTTTTCTATAAACCGATT